CCGCCCTGTCGCTAATCCACCAATCCACTTAGCTCTCTGTAATGTCTGCAAGGCTTTACTTTAAAGTAACCTAACCATCATCAATATCCAACTGATTCAAGAAAGCAATTTGGCTTTCCGGCGAACCCGGAGGCCCGAAACCAACTCAGGAATCCCGGGACTAAGCTTCCGAAATATTCGTAAAAAACAGTAAATGAACCGCTGATGCACCGAAGTTAGGGGAGATACGGTTTTAGGCAAATTGCCGTTGTCACGAGTACTTCTCCACGGACTGAAAGAAGTTCATTAACAGAAAGCTCAATATTTCCAGCTGGTAGAAGACAAGCAAACTGGTGAAATTCTGACAGTTGAGAAACACCACTCAACCGGCCAGGAGGTGTTCATTCGAACATTACAGTATCCCAGCATACTGCGAAGACATACCTGGTTTACTTATTTAAAACCACTGCAAGGTGGTCAAACAGCTTGATTGGACGGTCTTTGACGAGGAACTTTTCAACCTGGGACGACCAAGGCTGCAGAATATACTACTGCGCTTGCAATGCGCCAGTAGGGAGTTGAAAGACGTTCCACAAGTTTCGAGGTAATTTCCCCATATAAAGACGTCGTCAGAGGACGAGCGACTACCGCAGAATCCTATACACAGTGGGCAAGATTAGGGCTCGTATCCTGCCCAATGGACTAGTTGCTGGCCTTCTGGACGTTGCTGAGAAATAATGTGAGCATCGAAGCCATCGACATACGGTTGACTTAATCCTCGCCGCAAGACAAATCTCAGAGAAGTTTCACGAACTGAATCCATAGCTCCGCAGACTGTTCGCCTATTTCATCGAATCTTTCGACTCATTTGACAGAGAAACACGCCGCCGATCGTTCTGCGAAAGCCTTTCTCATCAAAGCCTTTTATACTGGGATAAAGTCTGATCTGCGGAACTTCCTGGAACAGTTTAATCGATACGGGGATGAAGCAGAGCCATGCTGTTGCTCCAGTTCTTTTCAACCTTTGTTTAACAATCGTCTGAGCACAGGCGTTCTGCTATTCCAAATGTAATACACCTATCAAATACCGGCTGAGTGGTCATCTGTGTAGCTCGAAGCATTTCCCGACCACGACAGCACAGTATGCTGTGATTGCCAGATGACCACGTCTGCAACACAGGTTCCATTATCTTGTGACTTCTCGCCCGGCATTGATATCTTAAGGATGACAAAGTCATCAACCTCATGGTTAGTGGATTACCACCAGTTTTCCATTACCATCTTGATGGCGAGTAATTGGTTGGCTCCAGGTAACAGCTGCATGGTGGTATACTCGAAGAGACGCCAAGTTACGCTGGAACCTGGGGAAAGTGACGGATGTTGCCCTTACCCTAGCAAGAAGCAGGTAACTGTTACCGGTGTAACGGTGATACTGCTGATGGGGAGGCATGCGAGTAGTATGTTTTGTTCTTGTAAATTCGCTTTGCGTCTCTTGAAAAGGTAGATCTGTTGCGGAATTTGCAGAATCGCTTTGTAGCACTTGCTTGGATTTGAGCAATGAATGATTGGATTCAATGAATATTCAGGAAAGTTCAAGAAGACGCTTTCAGGAGAAGATGGATATCCAGTGTTTGTAAATAAGATGCAAATGAGAGTTTTGCTTCCCTGTCCAATAGTCTGTAACTGATCAGTGGGCATTTTTTAATAAATAACTCCGCAGCGAAGGCCTTCTCCCTTTCACCGGCATGGATTTTTATACAACCAGGTTTGGGACGGCTGATTTCTAGCGCCAGGACTCTTCAGGTGCTTCTGCTGATCTTATTCGCTTGGGTTCACATCGGCACTGAGGGCTGCGCTGAACACCCAGTTCAGTTTCGCGTAAACCATCTGTGGTTCCCCACGATGTGCGGGCGTCCAAAGCTTTGGACATCGTTGACCGGCAAATTCGATTCGGATGCTAGCAATTCATTTCGAAGTTAATAAACATATTCTCTGTTTCTGCGATGGTCTGGGCCAAAATACATAGTAGAACGTTGAAAATCGAATTCTGAATTCTATCTTCCTCCAATCAACCCTCCCACAAACGTGTCTTTCATGCAGCTTTTGTGACATCTGCTTAACATTTGATTTGCTAACCTGTGTACACCACATGGGTCATTCAGAATCGCCACCGTACATCTCTGTTTACACGTTTTTGATCTGAGTCGGTCTTGTTGGTCTTGTGTTTGCTGCCTTGTGTTCACCGAAACAACTGCACACACACACACACATACCAGATGACCTATTTTCCGCCCAGACTTATACGTGGGCGTATCGACAGAAATCGTGTCTTCAGTATCTTCGCCGAAAATTGTTCTATATCTCTGAACTGACGATCGGCAACGGAGATATGTTAATCGAACCGAATCGGGATGACAGAGTCCTTTAAGTTCATGTCATTCACCACGTTCCATTTTCATTGTGCTCTACCTGTTCGGTGACACAAAGTGATTCATCATCATCCCATCGACGGCATGACATGAGTGCTCAGGACTGATGCTCCGCTGCCATACAACCATGATTTATTTGAAAGCCTCAAACCTTATCCGTCTAAATCCACAACATGTATGATTAATACTTTATCCTAATTGTTTCTTCGCGAAGTTGTATAGAGTCTCATTCTCCCACAAGCTTGTGGATAAAATAACCAAATATCGCGTTAATTGATCATAAGCTTGCTAGGTAAAGGGTTATGCATGGTAGATTGACGCAATTCTTTGTGATCATCTGTAATCTGAATGGCTCATGATAGCTCAGTGGATGAGGTAGCAGCGTACGAACCAGAACCCGACTTCAGCGTCTAAACTGCTCCTGTCTAGGCTTGGGAAACCTGGCACTACTCGAGCCCTCGTAGCTCCTTCCTTTGGTGTGACAGCTAGGCACTGAAAAGGTACTACAGCTGAACGATTTTCGAAACTGAAAGCTCAATTCACTCTCGGGTTACCAGTTACTTTACTTCATTGACCCAGTTTATCTTTCTGTTTGGCATACTGCTAGTCTTTGGGTACCGCGGAAGATTTTGAGTTTCTGTCGATGCGTTTCCTTTGCAGAATTTGATCGTTGTGTCCCGAAGTGATCTAGCACATCATCTTTATTCCCTTGTATCTGCAAGTAGGCCAAGTCAGCTGGTGTATCAGAGGAATGACTGAGGGGTCAGAACTGCCGTTTAAAAATACGTTGCAAAGTTGAATTCAGTACGATAGACCGTATAACGAAGAAAAACGGTCCAATTTGGGTTCAAGTGGGACGTAAGGCTGACGGAAACTCGGGGACTGTGCCTACCTGATGAGCCAAGAAGGGGAAACCGGTCGTGGGCTGTCGAGGGGGTTTCAGCAACCTTATGAGTAGTGCATTACAAAGATATATGTGCAGTTCTTTTCACAATATTTTACCCTATCATATCAAGTGAAACACCAGACAGTTCCCTCATCCTCTTCTGGGTTCGAACTTTGACCGAACCGGTTCTTTATAGGTTTACAATCCCCAGCGGTTCATTCATTTAAGTAGCTTTACGCCGTGGCCCCCTAATCTTCGTGTTCATTCCCTTGGGGTTTGATTGATAACCATCGACCGTCTTTCTGTTTGGTCTTCATGTGAGTAAAATTATACCCCACTTCCAACCCTTATGCGGGACGCGATAACTCTGATTCGCATGCAAATGGACCACAGATGGCCGATCATCTTCGATCTGACCACGGTGGAACGCACACGGATTATGTGGAGTGTGCATTTTTCACTATCTTGCTACAATCTGTTCGCGGACACAGAGATTCTCACTGGTTTGCGGGGGGGGGGGGGGGGGGGGAAGCCTAAATGTGGAACCAAAACTGAACCCGCATCCTACCATATCTCATCTAATCAAAAGTGATGGGTGAATTTGTTTTCAGTCCAGTCACATCTCGTCAAGGTATCAATTCGTAAGCAGGTGACAACCCAGTGCTATTGCTCGTCCATCCTCGGTGCAGCGATCTGAGTTGCCAAAGTTATCGACTTGCCTTTAAATACCCGTAATACGACAGTGATGTCGCCGGAAACTCTCAACCATACTGAGCCATACTGTTCCATACTGAACCATACTGATCTATCATCAGTGCCATTTGGTTTTATTTCTATTTCTCAGCAACCTGAGTTAATCTCTGAACGGTTCATCCTTAGTCCATCCTTGCTGTTAATAGTAATAGAAATCTTCGAGGTATCCACTATGCGAAATACCTGTGGGACCGCACTAGTTTGGCTCACAAATGGATACTTTGTATGACCGTGATTACTTCAAGATACAAAAACCAAACTGTGGAGTATTCCGTCAGTAAATAAGCCTAGTTTTATACCACGTGTGACCCATAACCTCTAACCGTTGATATAACCTGTCTCAAGACTTCTATGCGAACTAGCGATCACTGTCAACACAACCAGGACTGCATGTTGTCAGTTCGCTGCAGGTTATTGCTTGACCCATCTCTTAGTGTGCTCTGTCTTATTTGATCGAAAACGGCTACTCATCACCATCGATAAGGTGATATCAGTGTTCAACGCTGATGCTTTGCTGCCGTACAAGACGGCTATTTCGGGTGACGAATCCGCCGGATTTAGAAAAAGAAGCAGAGCATATCGCTGTGGAAAGCTCCTCTTGTTAGAATTCTCGTCATTTCGTCAATCACACCGTCTAATTTGTCTATTGTCCGGCGGTTGTGGTCACAATGGCCTGTTTATCTACCTTTCAGGGGTTTCAGTGCGTTTCCGACGCCCTTGTAACGTAAATCGGCCATCAATAGGACTGACTCTCTTGCATTCTTTGGCGTTGAGTCGTGCAAAAGTTGATTGCTTTCCGTTGACAGTGAATAAGTAATTAAACTGTTTTCTCCACCTGCGTTCATTTTTTTGGTGTCGTTATTTCGTGCCTTTAAGGGAATGCCTTGAATGATCGATTCTCTCTGGTCACTTCTCACCGTTGATGTTTTTATCTCCGTTTTTCCTGCTCACAGCGCAAGGCACTTTTCGTTCACAAACGAGACCTAACAAGTTCGTCTCAAGTACCAATTCTAATTCCTCGCTACTCAATGGTTCGGGTCCAACAAACTCGTTTGGATCACCATCTGATGCGGCTGAGTCGTGCGCAACTAGTCCTATGAACTCGACTGATTCACTTCATCCACGCCCATCGGGTGGATGGTCGACTAATTCCAACAGTCACTTTGGAGACAGTCAACGAGTATCTGCACATCAACCACGCGCGTTCTCCACCCCTTCGCCAACAGTCCCTTATCTGCACTATCGAGGTCGCAGGTCACAACCGAACTACCTCCTAAACAGTCCAACATCCTCTAGCACGTTGGATCCAACTTCACGTCCTGTGTGCTCTACCTTAGATCACACAGTAGGGCGTTACCTGCGCACACCACATGACCTGATCCTCTCCACACCTGAGAAGGAGATTGAACAGCAACAGGAACAAGCAGTCGATGGGGACTGGGAATGTGAAGCGATTCAGACAGTCTTATCCGCAGTTCCAGCTCCTCAGGTGAGTGTTCATCCTACTACACTAGATTTCCGTTCCCGCTTTTTCCACCCGACGATTTCATCATTTTTTCACATTTCAGGTCTCGGATATCAAATCCGGCAGTGCACTTATTCATCTAACCCTACCAGCGGACCTAACCGTCCCGGCGGGGCCGAACACAACAGAGTCTGATTCAGATCTTGCTGGATCTCGTCTAACCACAGATACGAAATCGGATGCAGGTAACTTCGGGTCTATTAGAGCTCATAGTTTCTCCCCACACATTACAGCCTCGAAATCACCCGGGGCCCAGAAATCTGGCATGATCCAGGAACAGAGGGAGCTCTCCTGCTGGAGTTTAGACGAAAACGCGATTCAGTTTGAGCTGCATTTGGCTGAGCGTGACAGTGCAGCCAGATTCAACTGTCTATTTGTGTAAGTTCGTCCTCGGCTTTTTTTGTTACATATATCGTGTGAGGACGTTTTGTCCATGCCTACAAGTGAGTTGCCCAAGTCTTCCTTGTTTCTTCCTCATAACTCTACCACCAAACATCCTGAAACACCATAAACGTGTGAAATAACAACAATCGTTCAGCTGTAGCACCCTTTCGGTGCCTAACTGCCATGCCACCCGAAGGAAGCACGAGGGCTGGGATAGTGTCAGGTTGCCCAAACCTAGACAGGGGAAGTCGAGAGGCAGAGGTTGGTTTCGAACCTCGAACCTTCCATTCAGCTCTAACCACTTGAGCCATCTCGCCCCAAACGTGTGAAACGTTTCCTCGGTTGTTAAGGCCAATGAGCCCGGAAAAGGCCCCATCACTGAAGGCTTTTGCGTTCAGAATCACAGACCGAAGATTGACACATCGATTATTTCGTTCTTCAGCCGTGAACTTTCCGCCGTGAATTTCACTAAAATTTGTTCTGGCGAATCTTGCTTGCCAGGATGGTCAGGAGTGCTTGGCGTGAGTCGAAACATCACCATCTGTGGAGTAGAGTGCTTTGGTACCACCAAGTATGGTCCTGTGTTCTTCCACCTGTTCGTCACTGCTGAATCAGATTCAGATGTCCTAGATGGCCGCTTACGCCGTCGTTGTTGTTTTTATGGTATCTTAACAGTCTGTATCGCACGAGCCTCATCGAATTCGCGTCACACCTCAGAGTATTGAAATAGAAAAAAATCAGTACAAATCGCATGATTTCCTGCCGGGCATCGAAATGAGAGGTAAAGCACAACACATGCCAGTACTCGAAACTGGTCGCGAAAGTACTATGTTGAACATCTGGCTCTTCTGATCCAACCAGTTTGTGTGGAGTTCTACTAAATCGATGGCTATCTTTGGTAGAGAGGCAGGCTACTTATCAGTGAAAGAACAAGCCGTCCAGAGACAATCTCCTCCCCCGGATTGAGTGCATCCGGGAGCATTTTTGACTACAAACGTCACAGTAATTTTGTTTGTTTTTTACTCCAAGTTCTCATCGCCCACAGACGATTCATATAGATATGACAACTAGAAAGCCATATCTTGTACCGTGTCTAACCATGAAAGGGAAAGTTCACGCTGACCTTATCCTGGAAAGCGCGTCGCATCCGTTGGCCCTATCTGCCACACTCAGATGGAGCGTTTAAAATCGTCGAGACTTTCGAGTACCTCCATTTGGATTGCAAATGGCGTGTTCGGTGACTGCATGCCTTGCAACATTGCCTTATGTCTTCCGAGTTCAAAGCGCATACCAAAGGACGAGATGACCTTGGTTAATTCGTCCAGAAGTACATCTAGCACTCTTTCTCTTCCAAGGTGCTAACGGTGTTGTCCACAGATTACATCAGCAACCCTTCCATGCGTTGTACAATGGAAACAAATCGAACGGATATCCTTGTTGTATGCCACTTTTTGTGGGATAGGGGGTGTATTCCCACCCCAGTAGGGATTACCGTATCGTAAACTCTTGTTGCACAGTCTCCAGGTTCAAGTACGCTTTGTAAGCTTATTAATACGAAGGCAGAACAACAAATGACGTTGTTCTGCCACAAAATGAAGATGTCGACATGACCTTGACCAGGCCGGAAATTTAGTTGGCACCCATGTCATATAGCTGAAGTAGTGGTTCTCCGCTGTCCCATACAAGTCAACCAACCATCTGAATCTCATCAAGTGGGATTTTTTCCAGATAATTCCCGCCATAAATTTAACCCCCTGCCACCCAAAAAAGATTAGAAAAAAGAGGATATGAAATGTGTACTTTTAGTTTCTACTGAAGAGGGTAAAATTAGTACGTTATTCACAATTTGCATGAAAAGGTCTGTTTTTCGGCGCCTTTGCCTCCAAACGAACTCACACAAGTTGCCGTCCACAAATGATCGATGTGTGCCGCACTGGCGTTTATTCTGCATCTTGTAGGCGTGCCAAAGAGATTCGATGGTTTGTGTGTGAGCTCGAGTCGTTGGATCCACAAAGTTTTCGACATGATTAGTCGTTGGAGTCTGTAAAAGCCGCCAGACACAGACTTCGCGATGAAAGTTCTTCCAGTCAACAGCGGTCGTGTGGCTAATACATAATTCCTCAGCGAAATTTGATTTTTGTCAATTTTTGGACCAGCAATAAATTACTGTCCTAAACTCCACTCTAGACCGCTCCAGCCAAGTTCCCTTTCGAAGACCGATTTCTTGCTGACACTATTGGGCATTACATCTCTACCTGTAAGAAACAGTTGAAAGTGGCCATTGTTGAATAAACGTTCCTGATGGATCACTTCATGACTTTGCAAAAAACGTATTGCCGTCTCCTTGTCGTGAGCGCGAGTTGAAAACGTCAGAAATTCATTTGAGGTTTTACGTCCGAACGGATGAATTTTAGCACAAAATGAGTCTAGATGCGGATAAGAAATTGTTTTCATCAAAAATAGGTTAAGGTTGTGTGCGTAGACTAAATTGGAGCTGGCAAAAAGTGACGGGGCTCAACTTTTCGCACATGCACTTTTTACATCAGCGGCGGGGTTTATCTGGAGAAGATCCCAAATGCGTGATGTGATGAACGTTGTCTTTGATGGTGTCACTGGCTTAAGCAAGCACTGTAAACGAGTAGCGATATTCAGCAATCACACTTACTCGACCTTCCGTACACAACAAGTTAGACATCCCGGTTGCGTCTGGCTGCATGAATCACGGTTGTATGCTAACTGGGCTGTTTCTAGGACACCCACACCTAGAAAGAACGATTAAAACCAAACGCGCCACCGCAGGGCAACCGTGTCAGGTCAATACAAGTCGCCTTATTATTCTATTCCAACCTAGAAATTCAGGAGACCACGTTAGTCAGGCTTCTAGCCTCTGCCAGACCGGAGACTCCGAGCGGATAACCTCGACCGAACGGGTCGTTGAGGCGTAACACCTTGGCGCGGGGTTCAGTCTCTTTCTGGTGGAGTCACATCCTTCGTGTTCACTACATTGTTCCGTCTTTTCTACTTCCACATACGCGTGCCCCGCAGCCAAGTAGTCGTTACACGCACGTGCACAGCTGTCTGCACCCACCGTGTGTATGCAGGTCAGGTTTTCGTTGCTACAAGCTTGTTTCACCTCTGTCTGCTACACCACGTCGGTCGATACGTAACCCAATATTGTGGTCGCGATTTTCCAGAGGTGTCTGTTCCCTATGAGAACTGTGTGTGTTGTTTATTGGCGTTGAAGTGATCAAAGCCTTGTGCCAACTTTTCATTCTGTATCGAATGGCTTTATTGAAAATCTCGGCTCTTCCATTAGTTTCGGACCCACCCCTATCAGGCTCAACTTGAATATTTGATTCGGTTTTTTCGAGCTTTCTCTAGAACTTCACAATCCATGGTTAGGGTGAAGTAGATAGGCGACGACACTTGTTGTTTTGTCATCGTTTGAGTGATAATCGTACACGCGGAAAACATTTACTTTGCCTGTTAATGTCACCGGGCGAGATGGACCAAGTGGTTAGAGCGCGAATTTACCGACCGGAAGGTCCGTGGTTCGAACCCGACCTCCGCCACTCGACTTCCCCTGTCTAGACCTGTGCGACCCGGCAGTATCCCAGCCCTCTTGCCTCCTTCGTGTGGCATGGCAGCTAGACACCGGAAGGATGCTACAGCTGGACGATTTTTTTAGTGTCATCGTCAATGCGCGAACTGATAATGTGTCCCTTGGGTTGGTAACGAGACGTTTGCGAGCAAATCACCAACGACCACATACCCTACCTGAGCTACTAATATTCGTTGGATTACACCGCCCAAGTACATGGTCACTGCCAAAGCACGGTGAACGTAATCGCCCTATCAAGTGTATTAATCCATGGACCTCATGATTTGACAAATTTTGCGGACATCACAAGTCAATCTGGTCGTGTTTGCAATCATTTACAGTCATGAATAGAAGCTTCTTGACGAGACAAATCTAGCCTTAGTGTCACTGACGGAAATGGTTTGATTGCGTAGACAGTGGCGCTTTTGTGGCAAGGCTACCGCCTCATTCATGTAACTATACGAACCTTGATCACTCAATGTTGTGATGATTGAGTATCCGTAGACTGGATAGACCAACTCCAGCCTATCGGTTCATCGGCGGGCGGAACTGTAGCTGTTCGAATCAACATAACTTTGGCGTCAGAATGTAGACTGAAAAAACAAGTGATTAGTGATAAAGTCACGCCTCCGCATTGTTCAGTGTAAAGCGCAACTATCGTATGTAAACCAAGGATCAAGACACCGGTATCGCACATCCACTACAAACGAAATTTTTGCGGAAATTTCATAATCTGTGCTAAACACGAGTATACTCGGTAATATCCGTTCTTCCCTCTGATTAAACAGTGTGTTTACAGTGTCCCCATTGAGGCCCAGGATTCAAATGGCTGACCGGGTTCGAATATCCGCTTGAGAGAGATCTACCGACATCTTGATGAGTATTACAAATCCAGATTGCATGGAAAAAACGTCCAGCGATAGCACCCTTCCGGTGCCTAGGTACCCGAAGGAATCACGAGGGCTGGGATACTGCTCCGTCGCCCAAGCCCAGACAGGGGAAGTCGAGAGGCAGAAGTCGGCTTTGAACCACAGTCAGTAACTTCGCGCTCTAACCACTTGGGCCATCTTGCCATCTTCCATGGGTTGTGTGATGAGTAAGAAAAAAGAATAGTCTGAGTTCACTCTCCCCATGGGTGCCTTGAGCTTGGTTTCCGACCATTCTCTGTATTATACATCCTGTTTGTTGTCCTACCAGTAAGAAAGTGAAGCTTTTTTCATCATGTATGCACAGTTTTCTTGACAAGTCCGAGTTCAATGCGGAATGTTAGTGCCAACAACGTCCCCGTACTTTTTCTTAATCTCTCTTCACAAATGTGCCTTTTTATTATCCAATTGAACATCATTTTACTCGCCTCTTTACTGGCCTTAAACGAGTCCCTTTTGCAATGTTTCTTGAACCATGTATTGTTTAGTATTTCATTGTATAAATGGAATGACGGTGTAGCTACTAGTGCCCTCCTTTGGATCGCTTTGAGCCAATGTTTTTTTTTATGAGTAAAATCAAACGTAGCGTTTTTAAACACAATAAACAGACAATCAGCACGCTATCGACGTTTCTTGACCACGCTTATGTTATCCGTGGTTGTCACACGGCAGTCCACTGAGTCGGAACAAGTTTTATTCTGCACAGCAAATGGTCGACAACACCTTTCATTTTTTGGTGTTACGTTAATTCGGAGACAGAAGAGAAAAAGTCATCGACCGGCATGTCGAAAGTCAACGTGATCTGGCCGGTACATGCATCTCGCTCACAGAACGAACATAAGCTGGTCAGGTTTCTGACTCGTGATGAGGCCTGCACAAATGATGCACTACATACAGAATCGATATCCGTGTCCAGTACCTTAATGAAAGACGGAGAAGCTTGTAATGAAACCATTGAGGTAACCTTTCAAAAAAAGAAAGAAGCCGTCAGTATCGATGATGCCCACGTACATTAAGCTGCGGTTTAGAAACAGCATTACTCCTGGAGCATTCAAATGGTGGCATCCATGTTCAACTGTCGGTTGTTCCTCACAACTGTAAAGGGTAAGATGCCGACTTGTGACCCTTTCACAACGATATATTCATTCTTTTGTAAATGTTCCACAAGCTACGTTCCGAAACCTATCTAAAACAGTTACTGAACTTGACAGGCGGAACCTGTTACAAGCGCCAATGCAGCCCAATGGATCGTCGAAGTAATCCAGTCGGGTTGTTCGGTGTGATGTATCCAGTCTCATCGAATCACTTCAAGCTCATTAGACAAAACCATGTCATTGATAGAATAGGTAAAAAGAATGAGTGATTCCTCAAGTGGTGTTCAAACTCCTTCCTGAGACTGTTCGTTACGTTGAGGTATGACCAACCAGATTTAGGTCATTGTTAGTAGAGTAAGATAGCCTAGAATGAACGAAACTATGCCTGAACCTCGAACAACCCTCAGTTAACATTAGGAAGGTGTCGCCCTGGGTCGACGTGTCTTTTTGCCGGGTAATGAGAGGGCAACTCGTTCGCTCCGGGCTGGGCGAGATGGCCAAGTGGTTGGAGCGCGAACTGACCGAAAGACCCTTGATTTCAACCCGACCTCTGCATCTCGACTTCTCCTGTCTAGGTTTGTGCAACCTGGCAGTTAGGCACCGAAATAGTGCTACAATTCAACGATTTATTTGGAAGCCTGTCCCCGTCGTTATAGTACGTCAAAAACATGTCCCTTCAACAAATACACTGATTCGCACATCAGTTTGGTTCTCACGAGAAACTTGTTTGAGTCTGTCGTTTCTGCTAGTCTTCAACTGAATGTGCTGCACCCGATACTCACAGTATATTTTCGTCAATTCTTCGGTAGAAGATACGCTTATGGCAGGGTGACTATCCCGGTAACCAGCTCCTTACCGCACCCATCCATACTACTGTAGGCTAGTTCCTCTTCGCTATCCTAGGAAAAATTTGCTTGCCTCAAGGTCATGACCTGCGAAGCCAACAAACTTCGTACTAATCCGCGTGCAAAACACCCGAATAAGTTGGATCACGCAAGATTGACATTCTTCACCTCGTCAACACTATTCTTGTTTGTCTACAAACGAACAGATTTTGTGTTTCACTGATTGTATCAGCAATCTGTTGGTTGTGCATAGTTCCCACATCATTTCTCCCAGAACTAAGGAGGGTGCATTGCTGATCCCATTGCGTCTGACGCCAGTAGCGCGCTTTGCACACACTCACAAACACAGTGCTGGAGATGTTAATTGCCATTAGCCGACTTTTTCCGGTTTCCCAATTCCACGGACAATTGGATGAGGATTCTTTTTCCGAATTCACAACGGGCAGACCCAACGAATGGTGCCGATTTCGATTTGTGTGTGTGTGTGTGTTGACGCCTGTGACTAAATTATTATCCACCATCTCAGCCAGGTGTTTACAGTTTCTCCTCCAGATTTCTGTTTTATGTGTTGTTTTGGTCGACTCGCCATTGCTTGACCACTTTCCCTGATGTTCCATGAGGATTTCCTAAAATTGCACAATGTACTTTGTCATGGTTGAAGCCTGGTACAGTTTGTTCAGTTGGTCCAGAACTGTTGTTGAGTTACCAAACGGTCAGCCAAAAGTGCCCCATTCGTTTACTTATGCACGCCTAGAGTTGTTTATGCTGGACGCAACAGAGGTCCAGTGAAACGATCGGACAATTGTAGGTCTCACCATACTATTAGTTAACTATCCTGCATAGGTTGATCCCGCATGGGACCTGTGAAACGCAAGTTTCTCGGCGTGATAAGATCCGGGCAAATGCGGGTGGACGGCTTGGCTTCGTTATCTACGGCAGCGGTCTTAGAAAGTCACTTCTATTAGGATTGCGGGTTTGACTGTGTGATATGTTCCTGGGGGAGGATCATTTAGTTTACCATAGATTTGATTTACACATGGTATTCCACGAACGGAATGCTGCGCATTCGTCAGACCTCCAATTGAGCGCATGCGTCGCGTCAGACCTAATCCAACATCTCCGTGAGAATATCTTCGTTGCGATATTGATGGATAAAGAAGGATCGCGACGCCCAGCACTGTGAACAACAACTGTAGTGACCACTTGCTTCATTCGATGTGGATTTTCCAACTTCGTGAAAACTGTGGACGATAAGCCTAGCGACCTTTTCGTCGGCGGAATTTTGCGACAGTGAACGTTTATTACGGATGACATTCTACGCTCATCATTCATGGATGGGTGTAGAGTCTACGACAGTTGGTTCATTTGGCTTTATTTTGGGAGAATGGTGAATTTTGACTACTGCCAACACCGAATGCGGCATTCACACTATTATCGAATGTACTGCTGTTGTAACGAAACTATTAGCGTTACGTGTTCCTCATCTGCTTATGGTGACTCGCAATGATCTGACTAGAGAGCATCAAGCGGAATTTTCACGCGGTCAATGTCTACCTCTACAAGTCCTATTGGGTGTCGGCATGCATACGAGTATTTTTAATGTGATCATCTTCCCCTAAACACGACTGTCCAACATCGGATCTCCCAGAAGATCGTGAATGTTGCTAACTCTCTGTATTATCAACTTTTCGATGCATGGAAGTGTATGAGGAGCTGCCTAGAAGCCCTTCTAAAAAACCCGCGTGCAACTCCACTCCCTGCTTCCCTGTTCAACTTTGTTACTGACGAGGTAGATCATGGAACGAACGCTGGAAGTGTTGTAGGTGAAAATCTTGTCAATTTGGAATATGCGGACAACATTATACTCGTACTTTAAGGGGAAACGAAAGCATAGATTATTTAGGATGAACTGACCAAACTCATCCTCTAGTGGTACAAACGTGGCACATCCCTCTGTCCCTGGGGTCGTGTGTATCGGACTGTACTACGTCCCAAATTGTATGGTAGTGTAATCGAGACGCTTCCAACTTTTTTCAAAGTTGTCTCAGAACTAGACCTCTTGTAGGTTAGTGCTTAAAGGTCCGCAACAACGGAGTATTCGAGGAATGTGGCCAGAATCATAAGCCCTGGTATCTTGGCCATTTATTGTACACCGAGTCTAGAGGACTGCTTGATTCAAAGTGGTGAAAACAGCGATATGTCCAGCTTTTCTCTTGGCGGAAGTGTGTCAAAGTAATTGCTAGCCCTGGATTCTAACCGTGCCTGGCTTATGACACTGCAGATGTGACTGATAACGATGTCTTTGATGTTCTTGTTGCCACCTTGTTCGACTACGTTTTGCTTGCCTCTGCGATAGTTTTCAACGTTTCAACCCCGACCAAAACAAATGCAACCTAAGCTGCAGTCTGCATAACTTTAACCCCGATTAAGCCACACAAATGTTAAAGCCTGAACTAGGATGCACACAGCAACTCGTCATGTGCTAATGTAGGCTGGTATAACTGTAAAGATGCCAAGCTATATAGTACATACATAAACCCATGAGCGAAGATCCGAGAAACCTAGATTTTCTTAGTTTTTTGTTGGCTTCCACCCCTCTCCCCCCACACACACATTCGCAGAGCGCACAAGGCGTTGGTTGCCACCAACTCTGAAGAACACGTTTAGAAATGCATAATTGTTTTCTCTGTTCCTATAAGGCCGATCATGTCCATAAATCTGAGGACATCGAATTCTTCATGACCTAGGAGACAGTGTGAAACATTAGGACTGGTAATAGGCTTGGTGTATATTTGAAATTTGTTGAATCACCCTTCGGTTTTGATGATGAATATATCGGCGGATGTGTCTAGTGATATCAGTCTACTCACACTTTGATTTCCTATGAATGTGTTGGCTCTGGATGAACTATTTTTTGTTAGGTCCGAATAGAACGAGTTTGTCTTAGCAGCATCAATCATCACATGGCGTTGCTTCATCATTTCTGGCGTATATGATTAGGATGAAGGGAGCGGACAAAGCTTGTACGTCAAAAACTCATATGGTTTTCTATACAAGTCATTTGTACTGTTTGTGTTGTGAAAGGGGAAGAGGAAAAATTAGTTAAACGAATCACGTGGTTGTCTTACAAGCTGGTGAAAGGGAATCGTTCGTGAGAAAACTCAACTTCAAAGGTCGTACATGAGTTTTGGCTCACGTATCCGGATGCCGGTGGCCTCTGGTAATAGTGTGAACCGTGCCAGTCTTGATTGGTTCAGAGGCACCTGTAAGGTGGGCTCGTTGTTTATAACATGGTTGAATTCGGTCACATGTGGTATACTTTCACTTTCCAACCACCATTCGACAACACGGGAACCTGTTCCCATATTCACTCTTTTACAAACATCTAGGATGCTGGGCATGAGCGTACACAAGACCCGTTGGTAGAGCTTGACAGTTCATCTTTCAACTGAAAGCTGATGGTCGGGTTGAAACCGAATGGCCAAATGCGCCATATCAACATACTGCCTGAGCATTGTCGTGACTAGCCCAGTTTAATGTAGACAGGCTTTTTCCCAGCAGAACACTGTTCAGCTCTCAGCTTCGTAGACTCCATAGTTTTTTTTCTGGTACGAATCGTTCCGGATATCCATACAGGCAGTGCGGAAACATGTCAGCATTGTCCTACTAAGCATCTGACCGAATTAGTTGCAGAAGAACAATTCTATAGAAATGAATATATTGGCCTATCCAGGTTTTTTATGTCTTTATGTAAATCCTTCGATATTAACGTCGAGATTATTTAGCTACCTGCTACATCAAAGTGCAACGGTAGACTTGATATTAATGTGAAGTGAACTGAAACTGTATAACAAGTTTGTCCAATAAGAATCCACTACTTTTGTGCCATCTACATTCCCTAGTGTGATAATCCACCAAAGAAGTCATCATATGTTGACCTCATCTCTCTACCCTCACGAACAGACTGGACCTTACCGTGGTGTGGCGGTTTGTGTACCTCATTGAGCTATACTGGGGGTGTCCGCGCGACACTCAGAGAGTCTCTCATACCAGGTTGGTCCATGGGTAGAGGTCTGACGAACACAGTCTCCTGGCCCTCCAGGTCGGGGGTTGTAACTTTTATGGCAACGTGTTCCGTTAAAATGGTAGTGTACTTGCATTTCCAGCCCAACACCTCTGGTTTGCGGTTTGGCTTTTGAGCCAAAGGCTTTGGTTGGGAACCCTAATCGTCCTCCTGTCTAGGTGTGGGCGCCCTGGCAGTCTTCCAGCCATCGTACAACCATGACATACACAACTAACAATACTCTCATCTCAGACTAGTAGCATCCAATGCTGCTCGAATGTACCTTTCCCTTTATCGTAGACCGATTACTGTGATGCCGCGAATCTTTAGGTCAGGATCGACTAACTGCAAATTGCCTATTCAGTTTATTCGTAACACGTAATTATTCACAATGTCAGGACAAAATGGAAGCAGTCTGGCTAACGGTGTCGAAATACCGATGTTCTACAATGGTGTTGTGAACAGCGCTAGTAGTGAATGTTGAAAGAGCGACTGTGATGTTTTGAAACCTCCGGTGAGGACAGCAACACATAAGTGGTGGTCTACTAATTAAGCACTATCCATCGCCAATGGTTGGAGACCTATTCCCACTTTGCTTTCAGTCGTTCGACCCCGTATTCACAAACTTGTTAGCCCACCAATCGTACCTTCCACTTCATCTGTTCAAGTCATTCAAAGCACAACTCAACGCCAAAGAAGTCATCGGATGATTGATCCCCTGTAACTTAAGCACTCCGGTGATATAATGACCTATATGTCTGCAAGTAAGACCAGTGAGCGTTGCACGCTCCAGGTCGCCAGTACGACTAATCAGACCACTTATGTTGCACAAACTTGTCGTGATACACGGAGGAAGAACTCCCTCCCACAACTAAAGACGAGGTATTTTCTGACCTCCCCAATGCATATACCACAATGAAAATGCTTTATGCGGGTGAAACAGATTTATTAAGTGGTTATCACTTCAAGTGATTCACTGATTACATTGGTGTACACACTGATGAACGGTTATTCGCGTGACTGAAAATTTCACAGCTGATGGTGATACACCTGGAGGTGATAGGATGAAGTCGCGCACGACAATTCAGCATTTCTCGGGTATTCCCGTGCCATTTCGGCCCCGTATGTCCTGTTTAGTGAATTTTTTCTAACTGTAGACGTTTTCCTCGAACCTACCCGCGGGTAGTTTGCACTTAACACTTTTCCGACAGTTACCTACTGGTGTACCGCTCGCCTGTTGTGTGCAACTCGACGAAACGATCCACTTGTTCTACAACATTTCGAATTTTCCGCTTCCATCTTCTTTGGATGAATTTGGTTTAATTTCAGTTTTTCTCACTTTTCATAAATTGATGCTTCCCTAAAATGGCATTAATCGTTTCCTCTTCTCCTTATGATCTAGTGGCGAGGCAACAGACATTTCTCTGCAGGACCTGCGTCCAGGCTCAGATTATTATGTGAAGTAAGTTCTGTGTCTTTGCTGTCGTATGCCATGAAAATCAATACTAAGCCCACTTCCATTCAAGATAAAAATCGATAACAAACAGGCGGCCGTCAAAATCGATATGACGTTTGAGAGTCGCGTGGGGTTACAGTGTGACTTTTTCGCCAAATAAGTGCCGATATGTGTACGAAGGGCTTCTTGGCACACCGTTGAGGCTCGTACATCGATGTCAGTGTCTAAAATCGTAGACCTAGTTGATTTCAGCAACCTTTATGGAACTTCCTGCCAACTTTAGTCTGATGCCCCGTGTCGACTAGGTTGGCTGAAATTGAACTGTTAATGGCATGATGTTGTCCTAATTCCATTGGAAAAGCCACCTCATTCGGCCGACGTACGTGTCTGCTCAGGTGCATGTAAACTAACCAACACGCGCAGTTGGTCCGGTAACGAGATAGCTCAGTGGTTAGGGCACCAGCTACGAGATAGTCAGTGGTTAGGGCACCAGCTTACGGATCGGAAGGTCTATGGTTCGAACCCAACATCAGCATCCCGACTGCTCCTGTCTAGGCTTGGGCATCCTGGCAGTATCCTAGCCCTCGTACCTCCGTCGACAAGAAGCTAGGGGAGTTTTGGAGGTGACTCCTAACTTGAGCGCTTCGAAATTTCTTCCTCAAACCGGAATCTCGCTAGCTGAATCGCTCCTAAAAGGCAGGTGTATGTGAATAGGTTTACGAAGTACATGTTCGAGAGATCTGGAATGCAATATGTTTGGATGGCAATTTCTTCTAATTTTTTCATAAAGAACTTTGTTTCCTCCTTCCGAACAAGTTTTCCTGACTCCATGCGTTTTCTTGATTCCCAATGAAACGAATTTTTTAATGTCTGTATATATATATGTATATATATATATATATTGCTCAGTTCACGTGCGCTTTGTCGAATATATGGTCTTCAGGTGTTCCAGTTAACCATATACCGAGAAATTGCCGTTAGTTTTCCCGTTCAATATCGGTTGATTGGCCTCATTAAAAATGGACTAACTAGGGAATGAGCCAGTCGAAGTGTCAAATATCAGAAAAGTGCATTGGCATATCTGCCGTCACAGTTTTCTACCTCATTAGAGATATTCGTGTTCTCAAAGACGAATAGATCTGCAAGTAGTGGATCAAGTGGACAACTCAGCCACTTCGTGCGTAAAATTTTCCGTTGAACAGGAACTGAACATTCAGCGAACAGCGTGAAATAAAATCCCTCGAGTTTCCAGGAGGTAAAATGGCGAGAATTTGTTACTCTGAATGATTCCTCCAGTTTACTCCAGAGCCTTCAATAAGAGGATACATTAGTGAAAAGTGTTGAATCTCCAGACATAACATTTTCCCTAAAATTGTGTCTGATTCTGTCGGTAACCTCATGACCATAGCAACCAAGACACGGACTGCGTGTATAAGCCACTTGGTTCATTATTTCGATTGAAAACATGGGGGGGGGTTCCAGGCAAAAATTGATTTCTTGAAACTTTTCAAAGCAGAACGCAGATCTTTGCATGGATGCTTCATTCACTGTCATGATCTTAGTCTGTTCGCTCGGAATTCAACCATGATTGACACAAATTTGAAGTCCTTTATCCTACTGTCACTAAATGTTTCTGCTTTTCGGTCCACCAAATGTCTCTTGTGTGGTCACGTGATATCAAATTGATCCGAAGATGCCACTCATGTCGATCTCTTTAGCTACTGTTGCCTCACACGATAGTTTCGCCATTGGAACTTCGAAATTTCACTACTCACAACATGCAAGTAGGCTCTCAGTCAATAACCAGAACCATCACTCGATTGACTAAACCAGGCTCATGGGTGTTGGCGAATGCTGTCCAAACCGTCGACCAACTGAATGTTCAGCTCTTCAGATAACTGCATTTTTTATGGTCGTTACGTTTTAATTCGGCCTTTAGTTGAACTAGTTTCTGTTGGTTAGAAACCGTACCCAGATCATTTTTGAGGGAAAGAGATTTTTTTCTTTGAATGGACGACCTTATTCCTTTTCGCGAAATACACTCATTTTACAAATCAATTGGTTTTCGCGAGGGACTCAACTGCATCTATCATTTGTGATATTCTACAACTGGATGTGCTGGCCGCCTCATGATTCAGTTGGCACGATATTCAGGATATCGCAGTGTATTTTCATAAAGGAAACTACTCATAAGGTTGCTGAAAACTCTTCGACAGCCCACGATCGGTTTCGCCCTTCCAGTTCGGGCTCATCAGGTAGGCGCAGTCTCCGAGTTTCCGTCAGCATGTGTTGTGTACTTCACATTCTATAAACCATGTTCACTTTCTTACACGAAATTGAGCACATGTCCAAAATTATTTGGAATTGAGTGTATTTCTCGAAAACAGTCCAATTTGGGTTCAAGTAGAACATAAGGTTGACGGAAACTCGGGGACTGCACCTACCTGATGACCCCGAACTGGAAGGGCGAAACCGATCGTGGGCTGTCGAAGAGTTTTCAGCAACCTTATGAGTAGTTTCCTTTATGAAAATACACTGCGATATCCTGAATATCGTGCCAACTGAATCATGAGGCGGCCAGCACATCCAGTTGTAGAATATCACAAATGATAGATGCAGTTGAGTCCCTCGCGAAAACCAAATTGATTTGTAAATGAGTGTATTTCGCGAAAAGGAATAAGGTCGTCCATTCAAAGACTATTCCTTACCTTGTTTCAGGTTTTATGGTGAACGAAATTTTAACATATGGAACCACTGCCCTTGCTTAGCGGCTTCCATGAAAACAAACGAGATGTTAGCCAAGAGAATGCGTTGATACAACAAGAAAGAAAGTTTGCACTGAAGCCTCAAAACAATTTGTGTAATCAGTGCACAATTCACGACGAGTGTCTTTTGATTCGCTCCGACGTGGTTTCGTATAACACGCTCACCTGGGTTGTGGTGATTCACTGGGCGATCTCTTCTGAGTACATCTCATTAATTGGTTCATTAAGACATTCCCACCATCGAAACACGGTTAGCTCTCCTTCATCATGGCAACAGCATCGCCCTGGCTATTACGAACTTTCAACACGGACGCGCGCATCGTGTTATTTAGAGACTACCAAACGCAAACCCATTCATGGACTGTGCCGAATCATGTGGCCCCGAGATATCGGCGGAAAGTTGCACTACTTTCTGAGACAGGCTACTTCATTCCGACCGTGCTGGATTGCTTTCTTAGTTCGCTCTCAAAATCACGCAGACTGGTTCAGGGGAGATAAAGTTCATCCAACTTGACAAGGCACCGAATTCTTTGCACCATGCATTCTTCGAAGACGGTTCTAGCGAACTAATGTCCCACTAAAAACAATCTAGAATGAAGGCGATTCTGGTGGAACGGAGCGTTTCAGTCGTATTCCGTTCTTCTAAAATTCCTGGGGAACTTCCATCAAAACCCAGCATGTCATCTGCCTCCTAGAGTCCAACTTGTCCTCACAGGTTGATCGCTTCCGAGGGAGATCGATTTTTTGGAACCCAGCCGTGATCGGGGATGCACTGGCAGACGTGCATTATTTTGGACATTATTTTGGGAATAGCTCTACTCTTTCAGCCGTCTAAAAACGGTGGCTTTTATCTGAAAGCTGCTCCCTGCTCGCCCAGCTGTCAGAAGCTGCGGTTAAGTGTGGGCGGTCAAAGGCCTCCGTTCTAGCATTTTATACTTCACAAGGGAAATGCACACAGCTTTCGCCGCGTCCGTTGGTGTGTAAAACAAAGCTGTGTTCTGTCACCATTCCTCTTAAGCGTTGTTAGCAATGTGCTATCTGAAATTTCTCTGCCTCGTGCTTCCGGGGCTCACGATCATTTAGTAGGCAGGTCACAGTATATTGTCTGGTTATTTTAAGTAGCCCAAGCTCTTCTCTTGCACCTGCAAAGTGTGAAGTCAGACTATGTGAGACCAAATTCAAACCTCACGCTTGCAGATGAAGCGATCAATGACTGATTTTTCACGAAAAGATTCAAAATGTACGCCAGTGAATCTTAAACCTGAATTCAAATCCGATGCCTTATTTGTGGACATAGGGTGAGGAACCATTAGGAAGCACAACAGATTCTACTTCCAGGAGGTTTAACCTTCAAGAGCTGGCCCGGTGATTAGAGTGCGAATTTACCGACCGGATGGTCCGTGGTTCGAACCCGACCTCTGCCTATCGACTTCCCGTGTCTGGGCTTGAGCAACCTGACAGACTCTCAGCCCTCGTGCTTCCTTCGAGTGGTTCGGCAGCTACAACTTAATGTTCCAATTTAATTTAATATCCTTCGGCGCTCTTACTCCATGGGAATCTTACCCTCATGGCGTTTAATTTCTACTTGATTCCCAACTTCCATTTTGAAGAAAACAATCTGTGCAGACTTCTAGGGCCTTCGGAAAATCACTTTTTCCCCGCACTTTCGTCCAAATGACCCAGCTTTACTTTTTATATTCTTAGGTGATTGTTCGACACTCCTGACTCGAAAACGAAATTTATAGACTTTCAAAAAACTGTAAACAGTCTTTTTGCAGGCGCTACATCAAAGAACGAACAGCACAGCACAGCTGCTACTGCTACCTTTTTTCGTTCAATGCGTCTGTTTCAATCAAGTCGTTCCTAATTTGGTTACACATTGCCTGAGAGCGAAAAAAAGAAAATTTGGTGATTTTGTTTTGTTACACACAACGTGTTAGACAACCGCGCGCTGCAGCCGCACTTGTTTGTTGTGTGTTATCCAGTCTGCTATTCGGTCGATCGACAGTCGCTATTCAGATCGAACTCGACCATACCACAATCACGCCATTTTGTTATCTTCCATATTTGACGTCCGCCACCTTGTTGCCTTGGAATGAGTGCTCTTGTGTTTCATTTCAGGTACTGCTGCGTTTATTCCGACATTCGGGGCCAGTTTAGCAGCACCGTGCACTTTACCACAATTCCAACAGAGCCCTCGGTCCCGCGTAACCTGACTGTGTTGGGACATACTCGCACATCGTTACATCTGAAATGGAGCGCAGCCAGTGACAATGGTTCCCGCATTACGGCCTACTGTCTCGAGTACGCGCCTGTTCCTTCTTCTAATCTTCATGGACGGCATCCGTCCTGGACCTCTGCACAACTGTCAGACCGGGTGAACGGGGTAGGTTACCCCCGCTGTTTCGAAGGGAACTCATACCTGTCCAGTATTATCTGATCCCACACGATCTTTTGTCTGAAGTCGTCAATTGCAATTCATTTTTCCGTATTCAACGAGGTTCCTCGTTATTCATTAAGGACCAGAGGTTAAGATGGAATCGATCTAAGTAGTATCATATATCCGGTATCTATAAATACTCTTGTTCTGGCTATGAAAATAGTTGTTTGCTATCCAAACCAGTATAATCTTTGCAGTGCCTGTAACAGGTGCTAAGGACGTGACTGACTCCGTTCGCACTTGGTCTATCCCACAAGTTTGCTTTGGATCTTCATATATGTACAATATTCGCGTGTCCGGAGCACCATCTAGTCAAATGTTTGTTTGCGGTTCTCGATGCCACATGTCGCGGACAATATGTGCTGATAGCTGATGCAGACGGTCTCTCATTTGAAAATTAACTGGGGCCTGACGGATGGAATCAGCTGAAATTCAGCTCAGTCTTCCTTATGGAAGGTCGATAAAAGCTACCTTCACTCACAACTGATATGGTGTTGGTGGAAATCCGGAGTCCCAAAGGGACCGAAACTGACAGTATGCTGCTCAGGGATTTCCATTAGCCTAATAAGTAGCAGTACCATATCACGGAAGCTATCTGGATGTCTCCAATACCGTTCCAACTAAAACGTGAGGTAGCGCGTGTGAAGCATACTCATCTGAACTGGGGATTAAGGTGAAATCCACTTGAGTCTCCTGTTGACAACTTGTACTCGAACTGCTAGTGAATTGGTCTATTTTACTGGGCGACGGTTTGGACACTGGCAGGTGGATGAATCACATTGCATCATTCGACTGGTAAGGATGTGGGAGAACGCCGATGAGCGAAGAGCCATCAGACTAGACTAACTGAACACTGGATATCGTCGAGACTAGCAGATCTCATTGCTGCCAGAAAGGCGATACCAGTAATTGGCGACTGTGATGGTGCACGCAGATCCCTCAAACTCCGGACAATCAGGAGCTGGAAGAATGACAGAGAACACTAGTCACCATCATCGTCCTCATCGATAGCATGACATCATTGTTCAACACCGATGCTTCACTGCCGGACTCCCGTTTGCTGCTCTCGAGTCAGTATCTCACGAGCCACCGTAAGGCGACGAAGCACAATTGACGCCAACAGTCTCGTTACAACCGGGGTCAAGCTGATCCCCCTGTGGTTACCACATTCACTACGCGCCCCTTTTTTTGAAGACGGGCACTATCACCGATTCTCCCCAGTTGTCTGGGACAGACTCCTTTTCCCAAATGCAAGCAAACAAGTCGGACAGGCGCTGACTGAGGACTTCCCTGTCTTTGAACAGTGCGGCTGGAAGGACGTCCGGATCAGGAGCTCGGTGGCGCGTGAGAGAACATATGCGGTCGTAAACCCCCGAGGCTGTAGGTGGTTCCACATTCACCGTCTAAGGTTCTACTTCACCTGTGGGCTCTAGATGAGTTCCAGCTGGTGGCTACGACATTTGTTATTCGAACTATTCAGCCCACCGGTCGAGGCGTTCTTCCTTATTCGTAATGGTCGTTCCATTCTGATGCTTGATGGTTTCACTCACAGGTGGTTTCCGGGGACACTAGTGGATTTTAAAGGCCCAGGAGATGGAGAAGGTTTTCCCTCCTGGCAACAGCCGGTGTCTAGAAAACATCGGCGGAGCCTGGTGGGATCATCGGATTAGTAGTGTTGCGGTACGCCAGATGTTTCTAGGAGGAAAGAACTTTCGCGCGACAGGTGAATTACTCACGCCTCATAGGTTATGCCGGTTAAGGCATGCACTGCGCATGCCAGCAGGCAGTCTGCCCTGCAGAGCTCTTTTCCCCCACCCCTGTATTGAGTGACAGCGACCAAAAGGTAGACAGTGTATGACCTGGCAACGAAGTATGAAAACACTAACCAGTAAACTTTGTCGAATCGACAACTGCCACCCCTCTGGATGGAGACCCCGGGACATTGGCGGAAACGACCCAATCGGGTAGTCAGTGGCGCTCGTGCATCAAAGCTATCGCCTTCACTGCGTAGCTACCCAATTTCCGAACAAATTGAACGCGCCTTCGCCTCCAAGGCTTGGTTGTATGTTCCACTTTCCCGTTTTCCGGTGATCGGAACTGTAGCAGCTGGAACCAATGTACCTATGGCACACGCTTTATGGCTGATAAATTGACTGATTGATTGGTGAATTGAGGGGAAGAAATGCTGCTCTGCCCATCATACATGTTCCGATATTGTTTGACTTGTGAGTGAAATTACTGAATGGCTCATGTCGGTGACTCTGCTTCTTCGGTTGTTACTACTATGTTCTTTCTTAACCAGATGCACTGGGGCGTGTGGTTCCCGTGGTAGTCAGTTGTGCTTGGACTTTCCGTAAACGGCGAAACTTTGAGGTTCCTTGCTCAGTTTTTCCGCCACATGTGTGAGTACATCACAGACCGAGCATTCCCGCCTGGCTTTACTGCAACTGCTGTAGCTTTGGTTTGCTCCGATTGGCCAGTATTCGCAAATTATTTCCTGAATTTTGTCCCGGAAGTAAATCCTTTCAGTCACATGGCTAATCGATCTCCGCCGGTCTTGTACGCCCCTACTTGCTCTCTTATGTGAGCTTCACCGGCCCCGTTGCTGCACTAATTCCTTGTGGATTCCTGCTAATCCGAACTCCACGAGCACTGCAGTTATTACGACATCGACCGGTCGTTCTCTGGTCGATTACCTCTAAAAGCCAACCCCCTGACTCGATTTATGCGGTTTTTATCTTTTCTTTAAGCTATCGAACCGCGGCTCAATCTCCGTTTTCAAACGATCGTCATTCAGTAACCCTATTTTTTCCCCATATGTGGACGTATTTGTTGAAATTGTCCTCGTTAACATTGTCCTTCTCAAATCTATCCGTCTGCAGGACCAAATACCACAGTTCGTAGAAGGTTTTCACGGCCTGGCCAAGTCATGTAAACTTACCCAATTGAACCCGTCCACCGAGTACCTGATTCGTGTGATGGCCAAAAATGCTTATGGAAACAGGTGAGCGAGTGGGGACTTTTGGTACTTCTTGTATTTCTCTTGGGACGTCTGAATTCCGCTTCGTGTTTTTTTCCTCGTCTTGGCACTAGCGCCAACAGTCTTGTTCGTCGATGTCACAGCCAGCCCCGTCCGTTCGATGACTTCTCATCACGCGAAGATGATGATCGCATATCTGTAATACATTTCGTCCACGTAAATCATTTAGGTTCATCACACAGGTTCTCTCCATGAACAGTTAGAAAAAATAACTGGCTCCTGCATACGAGGAGTCAAGCAACCGTGCTGATCTTCCTTCGTTTGGTGACGAAATGTTTGTATGCTACTTGCTAATTTCGGTGACAGCAGATCAACAGTCATCTGATCGACTGCCAGTCAACACACACCCACACCGGAGCTGTCAATATTCCGATACATTTCCAACCTAATGCACTCGTTAGTGTAAATATAATTCTCATGTTCTCATGCTGGCTGCCAAGTCACGCACCAGGAGTTAATACATGTGAAGAAGAATTGAACTGTTTTGACACTCAGAAAGGATACTCCGAGTGTCAGAAAGTTCGCTCAGTGGCTGCGAAGTCTGTTGTTCCCTAATCGTCTTCGTTATGTATTGAAGCCGGGAATATCCTGATTTATCAGAGATTCGTCCAGAGACGAACTCCCGAAAGTGACTATCAGAGTGGCTGTGATCGACTGACATCTTCAGGTCGGTTTGTTTCTCATGAATGGAGTTTATACTGCGAGACTCCACCGCATGCTGCCATCGCACGAGCTAGAAACCAGGTCACTGTGGACACATGTTCGGTCGCCGCTCTCTTTTGAGTCTTCTGGGGTCATCGGATCCTCACTGTTAAAAAAACCAGTCTGTTTTCACAATCCCTTGTTCGCAGTCTCGGTATACAAAAAACGCAAGGTTTCATTGGCTCATTAAATCGAGCAAGTGGGTAGTTAGAAGTTAGCAGCCGGAAAGCTCAAACGATGTGTGAAATAACGGACAAGCTCATCATTTCCCCCGCCCCCCATATTATTCGCCTTAATCGATCAGATTCTTCCTTTCCATGTGTCGTTTGATATCGTGAAAACTATCCGGTAATTGTCAGGTGAATGTGGTTTGGGATGACTCAAACGCACGGGGTTCTTAACTGAAGAAGTGGGAAGTCACAGCATTGACTACTCACCTCATAGACAATAACGTTCGCGTTGACACATGCTTGATTATCACCCACGCACTAGCCGTCAACGCTAAAAAAGGTTGTCGACAATGACGTGTGTGTGTATCTTATACGGAATATAATATTCAGCAGATTAATGGTGAAATCGCACTATTAACCGGAAGGCTGGGTCCCCGGTTATCGAGGAATAGATACGGGCAGAAGAGCATGAGTGGCGGAACGTAGACCACACTGCATCCTTTGAGCAGCAATTCAGCTGGCTCCAAGGCTTGGCTCGTCTATTCCAGTGACGAGACACTTCTGACAAGGGTATTACCAGATAGATCTGGATGGTACATTTTATATGTTGGATAAGCCAAACCTAATGATCAACATGGGTCTCACCAGTTGAACTACTTTTAGAGGAAATCAATTTGGTTTTGACGAGAGCCCCAACTGAATCTCTCGTTTATGATATCCTGCAACTGAATGTGCTGCACACAGGCCGCCTCATGATTCACTTAGCACGATATTCGAGATATCGCAGTATATTCTCAAAGGAAACTACGCACTAGGTCGTGGGCTGTCGAAGAGTCTTCAGCAACCTTGTGTGTAGTTTCCTTTGTACTTTTAGAGGGGTTAATAGTGGAAATTTAGGAAGCCGGAGAACGTTCTCATAGTTTGCTTCTATGTTCATCCATGATCAGATTATCTTTGACATGTTAAGATGACTAAGAAACAAGGAAGAACGCATATTTTATCCACTTTTCGGTGGTGACCACTGCTCTCTCATTGTCAGTATCTAGCGCACTCCTGTCAACAATATATTCTTAATGTTAATAAAAGTACACAAAAATTTGTTGTATGCCAAGGACTACCGAACTTTGAATCTTATCGATCGCGCCCACACCTGTGTATACTCTATACACATTGCACCTCCTTGCATCACTTGTTTGCTAAATCAGACTGAAAACTTTATTCTCTTATTCGTTTTTTATCCACTCACGACAACAGTTACACTTTTATCATGGTCTTCAGCTATTTACTCCATTCTGCAGCGGCACATACACTGATCTGCCTTTTTCATCGTCCTATTTTTTTTAATTTTAACTTGGGAGAGGCCGTGCGGGAAACACTCTGTTCTGACATCCTTCGATTCGTTGAGCACCGGTGTCATACTATAATAGCCATAGCGTTCAAAGCTTACGAAAATCCTCAGAACTATTGGAGAACCAATTCTCTGGGACTGTCACGGTCTTGTTTCCGGATACAGCTAAACATGGATTAAGAAGTCCCACTCTGTTTTCACCGGACAACTTGAATTGATAGGGCACTAGTGAACGTACGGAGCTCCGGCAGTCAATTCGAATTGGTTTACCCTGCAGTGCCGGTCATCAGTCTATCCAATAGGGAAGCACCTTCATTTCAGCAAACTTTCGGTGCCCAACTGCCATGCCAATCGAATTTGACACGAGGGCTGGGATACTGCCTGGGGAAGTCGAGAGGCAGAGGTTAGCTTCGACCTTCCGGTCAGTAAATTCGCGCTCTTGGGCCATCTCGCTGTTTCAACCGTTTAACAGCTCTGATTTAGGTTTGCCCCCTTCTAAGCTGCAAAGAGTGTGGTGTCAAAAGTGAAATTTACTGACTGCCATCACCTTTACCCGAATAAGCTTACTACACATGTGCGGTGCGTTGTTCATGAGTGTTGTGGGTCAGTCACTGCTGACGCTGTCAAAGTTTAAGGCTACTTCTTTGTTCACCGAATAAGGTGTGTTCAATTGGTTCTACACGCGGCCTAACGCAAACTGCCTATGGCAATCCAAAGTGGGGTGGATGTACTACGAAGATCGATGTTGCTCCGCTTCCCAGTGTTTTAAGCCGTCATTGCATAATTTGCCCGCATGTTATGTGAGCTTACCATCCAGTGAATCATCGCTCATGCACTCTGACATCCATATTACTATTGTTGATGCCTTGGTTACTTGTTTTTGTTTGCTGTCATTTTTATAATTCATCTCCATCTCTGCCTCCTTTTTTCACTTCCTCTCCAGTTTTCCATACAACAATCTGTCATTTCCAAACCCAAACGACACGTGCCTGTTGCGCCCCGTTTTTCCTCCTATGATCTCTGTTCTCTCGCTAATATTTCGCCTTTATTTGCCATCTTTCTCAACGTGACTTGCCGCCCGTGATTTATTGAGTGACTCATTTTCTTTATTGAGGCGAAATCGGTTTCTGACCCATCTTCGTTTGGTGTGACATCTCACAGTTTATAGTAGTGGTGGTGGTTTAAGGGAAGAGGTTAAGAGGCCTGCCTCTTTGCAGTTTCCTCTCTTGTTGCTATTATTCTAATCGACTCACAACATTCGTCGGGACAGGAAATCAGGGTTTTAGTGCGTACCCCTCCAGCTCCAAGTCTTTATTTGAGTTCGAACAACTAAACAGGTATTTCATGCGCTCCGAAACTTTTTCCCCCCGAAAGAACAACATCCCCACTAAAATAAGGTTGACGGAAACCCGGGGACTGCGTCTACCTGATGAGCCCCAAGAAGGGCGAAGCCGGTCGTTAGTTGTCGGTGGATTTTCAGCAACCTTATGAGCAGTACATTACAAAAATGTACATGGATCGCGATATCTTGAATATCGTAGTGACTGAAACATGAGGCGGCCTGGTGTAGCGCATTCAGTTGCCTGAGAACATCATAAACGAGAGATTAAGCTGGGTTCAAGGTGAGTCTCTCGAAAGCACCATATTAGTTTGCAAATGAGTGTATATTCGCTAATTTCGTGCATTTGGGTTTCCATTAGAACATAAGGTTGACGGAAACCCGGGGCTGCGCCTACCTGATGAGCCCCAAGAAGGGCGAAACCGGTCGTGAGCTGTCGATGGATTTTCAGCAACCTTATGAGTAGTACATTAAAAAGATAAACATCCCCACTAGTTTTCTTCGTGTTCACACACTTGTCGAAGAAAGTGTCAAACAGGTCGAACCATTAAAGCCTCTTTGAATCACCAGCCACAGACCAGGGTTACGATATATCAAGTCTTCAATCGATCGGGCGTTAGTTATCAACCACATATGACCTGAATTGCTGAGACACTTGCACGAATGATTTCCGTGTACGCAGGGTCCGAATCCGGATGTCAATCGGCTCGGCGGTTGTCAACGTCCGCGTACGAGTGCCCCGACGGTCTTCTTGTCTGTTTTCTGTGAACTGTAATAGTTGTCTCCTACACCTGTCTACTTTCACTCAGTTTCGTTTTTGGAGAGAAATTTCGCTCGTTATATATATATATATATATATATATATATATATATATATATATATATATAGATAAAGGAAAGAGTGTAGATG